TCTTTCCCATCAGCAGGCAGGTGTTCAGCCATCTCCAGGAAAGAGGGCTCAATCATGCTGCATGAATCATCTTGTAAGTTGCGTATCAGGTCTCAGCTAGTCATAAAATGGGTGTAGGCAGTAAACTTGTGCTGCTGTCATGGATGAGACGGAGTAAACGACAGCGCATAGCAGATATGGGTGCCAGGGTTAATTTAAGAACCAATGAGGTTGCGGCTTTTACCCTACTTGATCATTTCACACACTGCCCCCCCTCTCCCCTCCAGCATTATGTTCACTAGGTCTCAACTTCTCTTCCCACTAGGGAGATCACTGCTGGTCTGGGGAGGTGGGCCAGAAAATTGTGTTGTTTCGTGCTGTGCAGCAGGCTTGTAGATACCGCTCAGGTGTTAGAGGCCAAGGTCCGTAGGCATCCCCTGGCATTTGTCTCCGTGCATCTCCCTGATCTTCAGGATCCTCCCCCGCCTCCAGGATCTCTACTGCTATCTTTCTGAGACCACTTCCTCTTTTGGGAACACCTGCTTTTGGCACTGGCTCTTCTTTCTGGAACCCTGAGGCCCCAGTTTTCGCAATAGGTGATGGGCAGAAGCACAGCGTGTGATCTGCCTCCTAACTGGTGATTCTGTCTCTTGTCTCTCTATTAATCGGAGGATTCGGGTCATGCCATTTTTGCTCAGTCCTAATGTTATCAAAATTTACAAGCAGCCCATGGTTACAGCTAGCAAGGAGCAGGCTTTTGCTTGAGACTTTAAAAGTACAGTTTTGGGCATTCATGCCCTCCACACATACACCCAATTATCAGCTGCCTATTAGTGTTCACAATGTAAGCTATATTTTTGCCTGTGGCAGTTGGCCTCACTGTTGTGGCAACAAATTCAGGCCATAGTATAAGTGGATGCGTCTTCTACGGAACTGAGTCAGAGTGGTGCATGTATCACCCAGGAAATGGGATCCAATAAATGTTGGCTAGTGATGCAAATCTAATTTAATGTAGGGGGAAATAATAATTGCTACACATTATATATGTCGCTGAATCTTTTCTCACACTAGTGTTACACATGTCAAATGGCGAAGGGTTGTTAATACTAAGCAGCCAATTTGCATGCTTCTTTAAAGGCCTTCGTGGACATACATATATACCATCATTTATCACTACTGAATTTGGCCCTAAGATTGCCATTGGAATTGTACTGTAATACCTTTTACTGCAGTGAGATTTCTGACTTTAGAGGAGAATTCCAGTGTTGGGATTATTTTTCCTCCGGTATAGTTGGCTTTAAAAGTATTTGGATTTTTTTTTCAAGGTGGTGTTTTTAAGGGCTTTCTACTGTGGTTTTCCCTCATCATAGTTACGTGCTTTCAAATAAGGGCTTTACGTTCTCATATTTTACTTCATTCTACTTGTGTGTTCAGTGAAGACAAGTGCCCAGTTTTAGCAGGTGTTATTTTATTAACAACAAACAGATGAAAAGATTATTTCATTGCAAAGTGGAAGGAAAAGAAACTGGACTTAAAGTGGGTTTACAGGAAAAAAAGCTTTTTTAAGAACATTTGGGGCCTGGCTCTCCTTTCACTTATGCCTGATTAACTTCATTGTCTTGTCACATTGACACCTACATCCAAGTAGAAGCAGGTCATGTCTCAAAATGAAGCAAGGGCAGGACAAGACTGTTTCTCTTCTGGAACAAGTACTCATTTCACCCCAAAGAGGGAGCACATGCAAAACACTTCTGTTGAAAGAGATGTTGGGTTATTCCAGCACTTTCGTCCTTCATTTACATGTCTGGCAAGACTCTGTGAAAACAGAGGAAATTAGTGCACTGTCATCCAGCCTACTTTGACAAAGTGTACCAAGGCTTCTCTAGTCAATTTACATCTATTGACCAGAATGGATTCTGAAGCCATAGATGTCTTCACAGGTTTAACTCTGAGCTATTTTGCGCTCTCTTTAATAATGCTACTGTATCTAAACAGTAAGTGTTTGTTTCTTCTTATCTGTATTTGAAACAAAAAAAGAGGAAGGCTACAGATGTTCACTGTGCAATATGGGAAAAATGATGTTTCTTTTTAATACAACCTCTCCTGTTTGTTTATTCCCACCAGCTGAATAACTGTGGCAAGCCTTTTCTTCTCAGAAGGAATATCTTTAGAGGAACAAAACTTAGAAAGATACAATTACAAGTTACTTGTGGTTGAGTCATTAAAGATCTCTAAGGACATTATTCCATTTTGGACTAAAGTGCAGGATGCTTTTATATATAACTTCATATTCAGTTTTTGGCAGCCAGGGAAATGTGGGGTGGCGGAGAGATTGCAGTTTCTTGAAGGAGAGGAAGAAAATTACAAAAAATACCCACTACTTCTCACATTTTGTCCTTGAGCTGTAAATTTCCAAGAACATTTTAGTGAATTTGTTCAACATAACTGTAAGTTCTTGTGTTCCATGCTACCGTAGTATATATCCATCAAATTCTAATTCCAAAACGTATTTTTATGCTGTTTTTAGAGGAATGGAAGCTCACAATCCACCATTTTAAATTGCTTGTCTAATCCTGCCCTTTATTTAAGAGCTGTGAATCAGAAGGTTTTTTCACTATAGGCTTAGAGGATCCGTGCTGCACTGCACGATGCAGTTTTCTCTGAGAAGAATTATGAGCAATAATTTTTTTTAAAAAGTAGCATTCTCAGGAAATTTTGAATGATTGGAGGCAGAGTCTTGAGATGGAATCACAAACAGAAAGCTATGATGAGGTGGTTGTTACTCCTTTCTGAACGTATGGAAGTCTGCTATTAATGCTCTGCACATAACATGCAGTTTATTAATGCATGCGAAGGTTATTACTCTGGTTTACAGGGCAGACTATTCTGTTGATGAGGTTTCCTTTTACAGAGGGTCAGCTGAGAGTGGATGCCAATGTTTCTGTGCATCACCCTGGAGAGCCTTATGGAGTGAGGACTGAAGTGAAGAATATCAATAGCATACGATTCCTGGCAAAAGCAGTAGGTAAATGATGGTTGCTTCATTACAGGAGCATTGTAGATATTTTATGTGGTCTGACATGAAATATGTTGGGCTCCTGAGTGCAGTAATTGGCCTTAAATGCCCTGACTAGCTTCATCTGGGTGTCCCATCCATGCACCTTGCCCATGGGTCCAGAAGTCCCATTTAAGCTCAAGCTGGAGCCTTCAGACTTTGCCTGAGCTACATCACAGGCATGCCAGATTTCAGTCCTGCCTCCTGGTGGACCTTGGACCTGTTCTGTAGTCTTGTTCCCAGTTCTGTCTCGGGACTTACCTCCTGCTGCTTCTGACTGAACTCCCTGGATAGACTGTGGACCCAACTCATCCCCTCGCCTTGACTGAGACTGTCAGTGGACCCTTCCTCTCACATGCCTCTGCCCACGCTGTTCAGACCAGTGGGACTGCACCAGACAGTGAGGGCGCTGCCTGTGCTGTGGTCACCCTCGGCTCCTGGCTTATCCTCCTTGTGGAGCAGCCTTGCTCTTGTTGCTCCCTGACAGAATAAATCTTAGTATGGGGTATTGTGGGGATAGCAGCTGTGTTAGTCTGCAGTTTTCTTGCAGAGGTAACCCTCTGCCTGCAAGAAGAATAAAGCAGATGATTCAGTGCCTAGCACGTTTAGCACTGAAATATGTTAGCAGTAGCTCTGTGTCCTTCAATGTAGATGATTGCTTTCCACTGAGTACGGTAGGTGGTGTGTATGAAGTTCAGATGCAGCTTGGGTATGAGCAAGAAAGGATGATTATTACATCTCCAAAAGAGTGATTGGAAGGTCAGTAGGAATATAGGGCTTGGCTGCAGTGCCTGGGAGAAAATGTTTTCTATTTAAAGGGAATGAAAGAAGATGAGGAAAACACACAAAGAAAGAAACAGTGCTGGAGAGAGAGACAGTGACTGATAATTCTGCCTGTAACTACTGCTGTTGATTTCATTAAGGTTAAAACAACAAACTATTCCATTATTGCATAGCAGTGAAAAATGAAATAGTGGAGTGTACAAAAGCTAATAGTGCAGTATAATAAGCTTACTCTTTTCTGTTGTTTCTGTCAGACTATGAAATACAGAGGCAAATTGAAGAACTTGAAAAAGGAGGAACAATTCTGAATGAAACAAGAGCCTTTGATTCCAAGCTTGGGTGAGTTTTTATTTTGGAGGAACATCAGGAATAGCAGCTTTAGAGTGCCGTGGATACCTAGTGACATGATCAGGAGAGGTAACATAGCATAGTCTCCTCACAGGTAGTAATTTGTTCTTAAAGTTGAGGCTTTTTCACAACAGATTGTATGCTACATCACGCAGTGTCTGTGTGAAAATGACTGCCCTGTTACATACACACATTCTTTGAAGTGGCTTTAAGAAACTCTCCGGATCTTCATGAGGCGAAGTTTTTGTTTTGTGTTTTTGCCATAAAACTAATTCTGTGGTGTACCTCTTACTACATCTTACTTGTTTTGTTTTTATTTTAGGTGCACTGTATCAATGAGAGACAAAGAAGGAAAACAGGATTATCGGTATTTTTTGTTTTAATAAGTTAACATTTCAAGAACTGAGAATTTATTTCATTTCTTAAGTGTAGTCAGTGTAATGAGTATGTAAAGTTAGTCAGTATAGTGAGTAGGCATTGGAAGTTTACCTTCCACTGGAAGGGGAAGAGACCTATCAAAATCAGTGCTAGTCTGAGTAGTTGAGATCTAGAACTGTGTCTCATCTCTGCTAAAACCCATAGACTTTTCCCAAAAACTAAGCTGGAGTACCTTAGCTCGAAGCGGGTAAGTTGAAGGTTTACTTTGTGGCCAGTACAAGTGTATTCTTAAGAATGCCTGACATTAAATGTAAGAATAGTCTGACTTAAGCATTGCTCCCACTTTAAGTAAATACTGAGGGAAATTATTTTCAGATAGCAGGCCCTGCCTCTCCATACTTAAATCTACATATATTCTACCACTGATCTTACTAGAGCAGAGCAAGGTTTTTGAAAACACCCCACAAACTTTAAATTTAAATCTGCTTTTTAAATTATAGTTTGTAGAAATGCAGCAGAAAAGGCAGTGATCATTTTATGAATTCCTTATTATGGTAGAGGCTGGCATGAGGCTTATTTAACAAGACTAATTCAAACAAATGCAAAAGAAAATTCATGAAAACCTAGGCAAAACTGGTGAGTCTAAGATATTTCAAATAAAGACCAGAAAGATTATTACTAGTACTAAGATTATGATCAGTATTAAACAGTGTTTTTCAGATTTTTTGTAACTTACTGTGACACATTGTACATTAAACTTAAAATCTATGTTTAGGCAGATTTGAAAGAGGAATTATTATAGTAAATGTAAAGGGTGCCCAATGTCCTTTATTCTAATATTTTTGAACCCCTCATTTGATCGTGTAAGAGTGAGGTTTCTGCTTCAATCGCAGTTATTCAAGTGGTTTGAATTGGCCTTCTCTTTAAGGGAGCCTTTTGTTCTGTGATGGCACCCTGCTGAGCACAGTAACTTTGCTTTTAGCACAGCATGAGATTTCATCAAGACTTTTGAAGTTAGTCTGGAAAAGGTTGCAACCTGCCCAGATCACTCCTGGCAGCTGGCTGTCAATCTGTGTTTTTCCCTGCCAGTCCACTCGCGTTTTGTCCAGATCCACAATTCATGCTTGATGCCAAAAGGAACGGGTTGTTTCCATATCTATTATTATTGTTGTTATTTTTTATTATTATCTTGGGCGCAGAAGTGTTTTGATTACCCCTTTTCTATCATCTGCTCTTTGACAATCAGTGGCAAATACTCAAAGAAAGAAAATAGGGGCTTTATAGCAGTTCAGGGGCTGATCTCTTATTACTTAACAGTGCTATACCAAGCCATGAATTTTTAATATTTTGTTCGGTTGAAATAGTAATACAACTTCCAGGTAAGCATAAACTTGTGATATAAATTTTATTTCTTCTTGTTTAGCTTCCGACTGAAAATAATCATTTTCACTAGGTTCATGCCAGAGCCAAACCTTCCTCCATTGATTCTGTACGATACTAAATCTTTGCCAGCTAATCTGAACCATCAGCAAGTGGTAAATATTGATTGGATTCATGAGAGACTTCCTGACCTCCCCAGTGTGAAGAGAGCAAAGCTTGTTGAACAGTATGGAATTCTTCCTGAACACAGCTTCACCTTATTGGTAGGTCTATTGATCAAGTGCTAAAATAAGCCTAGAGACTTCAAAGTTGCACAGTTTTTGAGAAGATTTACAAATATCATATTAACCAGCTGTCAGTTCTCATGGATGGTTTTAGTTGGAAATACGTGCAATGCACACTTTGTACCTTGAAGCCGTACACACAGAAGGGTGGGGAAAAGCAGCCGTACACAGTGTGCCTAGGAGAAGCATTTCTCATGCAAGGTGCAGTCAAATAACTATTATTTAATATTGATCTTGTCTGTCTACACATGGATGCACCCGTGCTGCTGACAAATCCTTGTCTGCCTGTGCCTGCTCTTCTTGTCTTTGGGTCTGGTACGAGGCTGGGCACATTGTCAGTGTTTAACAAATTAATAGACGTGTTTTCCTGACTGCAGAAGCAAAACCCAAAGTTTAAATCTTTCAGCTTCACATGCCCCAGTTGATCTGGCTTCCACATTATTTTGAAAAAAAACCAGACTTATTCTTAGGTAAGTACAAAAAACAGCTGTACAACATCAACTTTGACCTCACAATGCAATTTACCAGGGATAGGTTCAGAAGAGGGGATGAGAAAGAAAAGGATGTGGCAAATATGAATATAAACAAGGACATGACAGCAAAATTTCGTAACTTCCAAAATCATTCTCAAGGGCTTTGAGCTTCTTAAATACAAGCTGCATCATCTCCATTTGCCAATGGTAACTCTGTGTGGGAGTTAGTATACCCACCCAAGATTAGACATTTCACATAGCCAGTTAAGCTAGGACAGTGTCCTGCTTTGGTTACCTCTGTGATTAGCAGAGACAGAAGGAAAACGACTTTAGGGTAAGATTCAGAGCGGAACCGTAAGTACTTTAAATTGTTCTCTGGAGGAGTTCCTTCCCTTTGACTATAAATGGAGGGAGAGCAGTGCACCTGACTTAACTACCTAATATCCTTACTTTATGTGTCTGTAATTTAATACACTTGTCCAGAAACTGGTTCTACAGAAAAATAAAATGGTTCTTTCTTCTGAAGAAAGCTGTTAGGAAAACCGCTTTTGTGGTGGTGTGCCATTTTAGTGAGTTGCAGATCTTTTACTGTTTGGTGGGCAGGTGAGTCATAAGTCTCATCAAAGTCGTGAGGCTGCAGTGATAGCAGCAAGAGGGGTCAGTAGTGTCTTACCTTTCTGTTTCCTTGTGTAAGCTGGAAAACGTGGTTTCGCAGCCAGTATTCCTGTCCATGCGTGCATTTTTTCACAACAACATGTTTCTCACATAGTAAACAGAGCTCAGAAGGGCAGATAGGTTCTGAACTCTTCTTTCTGACTTTTTTTATTCTTCTCCCCCTCTGTGGTGGGTTGACCCCCGCCAGCTGCTAAGCACCACTAGCTGCTGGCTCATTCCCCCACCAGGAGGGGACGAGGGAGAGCATAGGAAGAGCAAAAGCGAGAAGACTCGTGGTTTGGATAAAGGCACTTAAATAAGTTAAGGAAAGAGGAAGGGAAAAACCCCAAAGTGATGCAAATGCAATCACTCACCACCTTCCACAAGTAGACTGATGGACAGCTGGTCTCCGACCAATGACTACCTCCCCAAAAATCCCCTTCCCTCAGTGTTTCTCGTTGAGCATGGTGTTATATGGCATGGAGTATCTCCTTGGTTAGTTTGGGTTAGCTGTCCAGGTTGTGTCCCTGCCCAACTTCATGCCCACCCTCAGCATACTCGCTGTGGGGGGCAGAGTGGGAAAAAGAGAAAGCCTTGACGCTCTATGGGTACTGCTCAGCAGTAGCCAAAACACCAATGTGTTGTCAGCACTGCTTTATTCACAAATCCAAAACACAGCACCCTACGGGCTGCTCTTAAGAAAATAAACTCCATCCCAGCCAGACCCAGTACACCCACTCCTCTCACTTGGCATCAACCCACTTCTTGCGCGTTTCAGTTTTGCTAGTAGTGATGGCTTCTGCTGTGTGGTTTCTGTCGTCTCTATCAACTAGCCCTATATGTTTGCCTCATCAACAACCCTTTCTTTCCACCTGTTCTCTGAAATCACTATTGCCTTTGCCTTTTCCCTTTTAACTTTTTTTTCCTTTTTGCAACATGTAAGACAATTAATGAGCTCCAAGCTGAAATTTGGGATTCAGCTTGTAATAAGATAATGCATCCATTTGAATGCATGAAGTGAACGCGTTCTTCATTGCGGGTCTGCTTTTATTGTGCATTAGAATGTCAGTGTGTATACTCTCCATAAAAGTTGCTTGCCTGTTCACTGAGAGACTAGTTAACCTTAATTCATCTGAAAACGGTACGTCCATTGCTGTGTTAAGCTTGCATCAGAAGCTGCAGAAGATTGCTGATAGGGCCAGATGCACAAATCTAATGAGCATTCTTTCAGGTTAGAGCGCCCAGGAGTGCTCATTAAATAAATGGCAGTGGTAGAGGGATGACGCTAAAATGCAAAATCTCTGTTCTGCGCCAACTTGTTAGAAAAAACATTATGCGCCAAAGTTATAATAAAACAACACCATACTTCAGCATGCAAGTTAGTTTCCGAGCTTACTTCATGAGCTTTATTCTCATATACAAGAGCTACCTGTACGTACTGCAGTACTGAGAATCTGAGACTCCTGCTTTGCCTAATTATAAGACGTACTGAAATGTAAGGAGAGTGTTACCTATTAATATCTTTATATCTGAAATTTCTTAAGCGTAAACTGCTACATTTTTGACAGCTCTGTATAAATTGCAAAAATAAATGAAGTTTCTGATTTTCTTCATGCAGAACCCTTCTTGTTCGTAAAGATACAATTCTTTGAGCCACGTAGACTCCATGGTATTTGGATACTCAATTTCTGCATGCAATTTCTACTTTGCTGTGTCAACTGGCAGGCTGGCAAATACTTCAGTCAAGAAGGATCTCTGACAATGTTGCCAGTTATGGTATTATAATATTTTTGTCTTGCTTCCTATTGAGACAAAAAAATAAGATGTATTGGCATAGACATTAATGTGACGTTTTGTTTTCAAAAAGCATGCTGAAGTCCAGGGAGGACCATCCAAAAAATAGATCAATTGTCACAATACAGCCTTAGAAAAAAAACAGTCTGATCATTTCCTTTCTCGTCTGAATTCCAGGTCTTCCTGTACATTTACTGTTCCCCTGCTTACTCAGATAAAAGTAGCAGTTCCACTTGGGCTTTGGCTCACTGCTTTGGTGGAACAATTACATCGGTGAATCCTTGGAACAGTCAAAAGTGGGATGCTGTAGAAGTTGGTTTTGACCATTTTGTTTATGACATGCCGTCCTCATACATGATGGTGTGCAGGTGACTTTATGCTTATTTTTAGAACTTAAATTGCTTTATAAGAAGCTATAGGAAAAAGTTTGAACTTTCTTTGACTGCTCTGCTTGTCTGCTTTAATAGGCTAGATTTTCTGTTTTTTTCCCCTGACGATCTTGCGCATTTTTGCAGCAGTTGTTACCTCACAGTTGGTTATTGTAGGAACTGTGATGGTGAAAATGGGAATAAGAAAGCAGAAAATGACATTTTATTTGTTAAATTGATGTAGTTCTCTTCTTCAGTTCTTTGGGAAACATTATTGGTCTTTAAAAGCATAAGTTAGCGTTACAGACCCAATGTCCCGAAAGATTGTACCCATGGTATTTTGTAAAACAATGTATTGTTTTAAATTTGTTTAAAAAGCAGCTGGAATCACTCCACCACTAGTTTTTTTGGCATCTCAGTACTATTAAGCGATCGTTTTAAACCATGTTTGAGAAAGAAATTTGCATCTGGTTGAAATACTGGTATGTCAGATTTCATGCCAGTGAGACTCTAATGAACAAGTTACGGCATATTTGGTGTGTAACGGGAGCACCGAGTGGGCCTGAATCACAACCGTGGTGCTGCAATTCCAGATCTCTGATTTTCCTTCTATGAAGATTAAAATACGTTATTCAGAATTAAGTGAGAACAGTCAGTTAGCGTTCCTGTAAACCAGCCTGTTAGAGCATGCAGTGGTTTTCAGCTCAGATCTATCGCAAGGGACAGGGCTGTGTGTTGGTAGTTGGAATGAATTTGGCGTGAAGAAAGTTGACCAAAATGCAGAACAAATTAAAGTCAAGTTCAAGTAGTACAATATCTAGAAATTGATGCTAATCAAGTTATGCCTGCGTTTTTCTAATATGGCAAGAAAATAAGGAAAATGTTTCATTTCTGTCAGTCATTTTCATGTTTTGACATTTTGCCGTATTCATTTCAGTCTAGCATTGCTGGGTTTTCCTACGCTTTGGCTACAGAAAATGACAGTCACTTTAAAAAGCCTAAAACTAAATGCAAAGGAATTCTGGGGAATATGTCTGGTTTTGCGTGCACAAGTAGCGAGTATGGGGTTCAGTACCTGGTAGCATACTTAAGTCTGTCTGTCTGTCTGTCTGAGTATTCCTAGGCTTTTCTCCTCTTGCTACCTGGAAATCGTCTTACTAAAATGTGAAGGCTGGGTGTGTTTGTCCTTGATTTTCAAAGGTCTGGCAGCAGGGTCAGAGCTGTAGCTCCAAGCCAGGTTGTTGGCATCCAGAAATCTGAATGCGCCCACTGCTAGGGATACGCTCTCCAGCCTATACGTGATGACGGGGTTGGACGTGCTGCCTCTGAGTTGTGTAGCCTGCGTTCAGACATGTGGCACCCGCAGACATTGTTTTCGTGTGCATAATGTTGTAGCTAGACCCGCTCTGCCTGGAGCGTTTGTAAAACCTTCTGCAGCATGTGTAAAGAAACCAGCATTTATACGTGCTCACTTTTTCCTACCTAAATTGGACAGGTGTTTTTGTGGAAGGGAACCCGCTGTTTAAATAATCAGTGTTTGTTTGTGCTAATGAATCCTGAGGTGAATTAGAAAGAGTACAGTATTTAGTAATGCATCATTTTAATAATTCCACTTAACACACACGCAGTTTTTAATCAAGGTTACTGTACTTTGGTAATCACGTCATTCCTTTACTGTTTTTTTAAAGCCAGATTTGTTCCTCTAGTCTATTTAGCCTTAGATTTTACATTATTTGATTACAAAGTAACTGCTAGTTAAATTTGTAAGAACACTGGAAAAGAAGGGAATTATGTCTGTGTGTATTAGATAGCTAGCTAGGGGGAGTTACAAGATTTACCTTGGTTGACAAAAGACCTCAGTGGCTTTCCTAGGCTGAGAACTTGGTGTCTTTGCTCACGGTCTCAAGGTAAAGGGGACGGGTCTGATTTTTGTCACACCTGTTTTACAGCACATCAACCATTAATCTAAGTACATTTTGTTCTGTTTCACAGAACAGAGAGCAGTAGTCTGCAGTCTTCTCAAAAGCCATACATCATCACCAATGAAAAATGCGGTATCAAGAGCTGTTGGAAGTTTGTGTTGTGAAAGTTTTGCGGAGGAAAGTCTAAAATTCTGTATTGCTATGGTGATAAATCTCCTTTAAAAACAAGGGCGAGTGAGACTGTTTTGACGGGATGTGTTTGAGCGGAAAAGTCAGGCTTTGGTTTAGTACGGACCTGCACTCTTTTTGCTCAGAACTGTTCAGAGAGATCTGGCTGCAGTCAGTATGTGCTTGGAAAATGTTTTTGCTGTGATGATAGTATACTTAGAATAGCTCCTTGGCTGTCTCTAAACTGTTACCTCTCACAAATTCTGAGAGCTGGCTTGTCCTCCTGTGCATTTATGCCACGCACTGCAGAAGTCCAGTGGCACGCTGGATTTGGATTCCTCCTTGAAAAGGCAGGAGCTGCCGCTTAATATCTCTTCAGCCTTCGGTAGACCTAATGAGTTCTGTGCTACAGTTAAAGATCCATCAATGCCTTGATGACAAACAGCACAGCATTCACCAGACTGTGCAGTGTCTGTTCTTCTAAAAACCATCTCAGATTTCACTTAGGCTATAAATTGAATCCCCTACTGTCATACCTTCTGAGCATTTAGGGTGCTGTGGAAAAGCTTACATAGCTTCTCTGAAAATACTAGAAAAAGAAAACCTTGATTCTTACAGTGTGACCTTTCCGTATTATTGAAGGGTGAATGCAAGCTAAACTTATTCCTTAAATCCAAAATAAATAGAAGTGATTGCAAGATCAAGAGTGAAATGTCTGTAGACAGTTTCAAGAAAAATCTCTTCTTGGTAAAAGGTGGCACAACAGCCTGTCAGATGGCAGCATTATATTTTCTAGCATTATACATATTTAAAACGCATGAGGAGATGAGAAAGCTTCCCCCAAATGCTAATTTTAAGGAGGAGTTAAGAAAAAAAAGATCACTCCTTTATTGGAAGTTCCCTTGAAACAGACAGGCTGGCAGATAAGCTGTATGTACCCATTCCAGGCGTAACATAGTTTGTTTGCTGTTATGTTAATAAAATGACTCCAAAGTCTTGGGACTTTACAATGAATTTACAAAACCAAGTTTACTTTAGGACTAAGTATTTATACTACAAATGTAATTGTATAATTAAACATGTTTGCACTCTGGTATCTTTTTGATGCATGTAACTTTTCTTAAACAGAATGAAGACGGATTAACAGAATTCTTTGAAAATGTGGTAAAAGAGACCCAGATGAAGCCAAAGAAAGTGATCGGCTGGATTCTAAATGACCTGCTCAGTTATTTGAAACAACATTCCCTTACAGTAAAGGAAAGGTCAGGCTTCTTGATTACTACCGTGGTGAAACAGAAGTGATCCTTTTCTCATGTACCATGAATGGTATCATGTCACTCCATTGCTCGCTTCTGCTTTAGTTATTATCTGTGAAGTCTGTTACGCTAGGCAGTACTACGTAGGCCTTGACTCTGTCACGCCGAATGAAGTTAACCAAATACCTTGCAGAGAAGAGGACCGTGTAGTTAAGAGTAACAATCAGAGCCTTCCTTCTTTGGAATATGACAGTGGTAAGGCATAATCAGGCAATCGGTACCAAAGTTGAATACAGTGTATCATGAGGAAAAATACTAGCTTGTCATGCAAAACGGTGTGATCTTTAGGCAAGCAACAGTAGCGCAGATATATTACTTCACCTTATTCTCTGAGGTAACTTCTGCCCCCTTTTTCCCTAGCCCAGTCAGTTCTTTTCTCCTGGCTGACCTTCTGAACCTTCTAGAAAAAAAAGAAATTTCTTCTACAGCAGCAAAGCAGGTAAGTACCTTTTTGATTTTACTGTACTTTGAGCCTGTGGCTGCTTACTCCATTCATGTAGCAATTTTGTAATCAGTCAGTGTGTACCAGTACATCAGTTGCTTTAAAAGGAAATTACTTGGGAGTGTTGATGAAGGATTAATTTTGTATCTACTATATAAATATGATAAATGAGAATGCCTCGTGTGTGTATAATCTTACAGATATATCTGCATATTCAGTGTTAGAAGTGGGCGCAAGCCAAATAGCAGATTTAAGCAATGTGAACTGAAATCAAATAAATAAATCCTGCTTCTGAACAGACTGGACGCTAGATCTCAATTTCACAGTTCAAGTCAGACCTGAGTGAAAGGTCAGTGGGAGTTAATCCATGACTTGCAGTTAAGCTGAGAATATCTACCGGGTACTAAGGGACAGTAAGGTCTACTTTCCCAAGCATTAGCATGTGGAAAAGGGTAGAATTCACCCGAGTGTAGTCACAAAAAGAGTTCTGCTTTGGTGTACCTCTGAGGCAAAGTGGAGAGGTCTGGCCTTTCTTTTATCCTTGCTTCTTTGAGCAAGTGCTATCGTGGACGTCTCAAGCAAGTACTGATGGTAAAGCCAGTTTTCCCCTCTTTCTAAATATCATCTTGCTTAGGACAATCTGAAAAATCAGCTTTTGATGATCTGTATCTAAAATTGTGAACTGCTTATGATGGGTACCGTGACTGCTGTGTCTGTAGACAAAATTTGGAGGTTTTTTGGGATAGGCACAAATCTGTCATTCATCTCAAATTGTTGCCAGCTCATTTATGTGGAATGCATTGTCTTTTCAGATGAATTATTATCCTCTAGACAAGTACATTAGATGACTGCTTCTTCTCAGGTGTTTGTCAGTGAAACTGTTAATAAAGATATTTAACTTGCATTGTCTGCTTTCAAGGTTTTAACACTCTGAAATACGCAGGGCGGGTTTCCATCTTTCTAGCACTTATTGATTTAATCCAAGTACAACTTTGGAATAGCACTGAAGTCAGTTCACTTTTTCTTGCATGATGATTATAAACCAAGTGTAACTGTTGCAAATGCGGCTCTTTACCCTCCTTGGAGACACTCACACTTCCTGGTTTGTTGTTTTTGTTTTTGGAGATGCTTGTGGTTCTTAATTAAGTTGGTCTGGTTGTTGGTCTGCTTCTGTGAATAGCCAGCTGCATGTGACAGGTGTCATAAATAAGGATTTAAGTGCCTGACTTCAGGCACGTGCATTTGGAAATTTTGGATTGGAAAAGTAAAAGCTTCAAAAAGGAGATAAAGTATTAATAGGAAAAGCATTGGCATGCAGAGC